TATTTCCAGCGTTACCCCTTTCCTTTGCTGAGCCTTTAAAATTGCACAATAAAAATGCAGCCGCCACTGTGCATCTTTTTCGAGAAATCAAGTTAGAGTGGATTTTCACTCTGAAATTAGTGCCATTTTTCCATTTATGATTTTAGAAGGATTGGTTCTGAGTGTTCTAAAAAACGGTGAGTGATTCAAACTAATTCAAGGGATTGAGTTCTTTATTAGGAAACCAAAAGAACCTACATGAAGACAGAAAAATTGAAACAGGTTTTCAGTTTAAAAGTTCCTCGTCTTTGTTTTTAGCTTTAGTAAAATAAACCTTTATAATAAATTTAACTAAAGCAATTTTTATAGGTGATAAAGTTAAGATTTTCATAAGAACAAGGCTTTCGTATCTCCCTTATACTCATCAAATACATAATAGTACCCCCACCCCGCTCGTACAGTCGTGTTTTTAGCATTTCATTTTTTCCAAGCGCCCGTATCTTTCAAAAATGCGTCTTTGGTATCAAAAATAGCTGAAATTCAGGGCTAATTTTTTGAATGCCTAAGCTCAGGCTTTGGTAGCGATAAACCAGTGTCGAGAAGAAACTCGTTCAGAGCTCCAGAGTACTCAACGCTCCGCACCGGCTTCATTTTGGGGGTGGGGTACTATTACAGTATTTACGGTGGAGCAGCCAGTTCTACATAGAAGTGGGCACTGGAGAATTTTCAGAATTTTAAGACCTATCCAAAACTCTCGGTCCGCTTAAACTCACCGTTTTGCTTTTGGCTTCAAGCGCTCTTTGCACTCACTGAATTTTCTTGCATCCTAAAATTTTGTGTTTACGTCGAAAGGAGCGAAGATAATTTCTTAATGAGAAAATGGCTTTTGCACATTTCGTGGATTTAAAGCCACTGCTCGGGTGTTTACCCCAAAATGACGTTTGATAAGATGAAGCTGAAAATGATATTAAAAGATGTTAGGAAACTATAGTAAGCAAAAACAAGTGGCTAAGATGGGTCACATAAAGTTTTTTGTGATTTTATTGTTTTAACCGTTATTGATTACCTCAATTCCTGTGCACGTGACTATTCGGCTTACCAAATTTACGTTTAAGGAATCAACAAGATTGAATCTTTAATCAGCCTTTTTGTCCAATTTTCTTTGTAAAGTATTTAGCCGTTAACTGAATATCATTAACCTTCTTTGCTCTATTTAAGTGTTGCTGCCAAATTTCATGTCTTTCTTTTATTCATTACAAGAAATAGCCCGTCCTAATCGTCCGTTCTAAGCTCATATTTCTTTTATTTATAAAACAAAACGATTAATTTCTTTTTAAGTGAAAGTTAACATCATTTTGTTGTATATATTCAAGATTTCATGATCAATAGATATCAATCTATTGATCAATCAATAGATAATTTTTATGAACGCTCAAAAATGGCTGATCAAAAAAAAATCACGAACCGCAATTCATCTCCACAAATAACCACAAAAAATAATTTTTTTGGGGTTTTTGAAACCAAGTCTTTGTTATGTTTAAGTAGAATTCAGTTCAGAAAAAATATAAATGCTTTAATATTTTCTATAGATCATCGTTAAAAGAACCTTAAATTTGAATTGCGTCGTTATTTTTGATTAGACATTTTGAGCGTTTATAAAAATTATCTATTGATGCTATGGCCATAGTGTCTCAATATATACAGAAAATGATGTTAATCTTCATTTGGTAAATAATGTTTTGTCTACAAATAACAGAAATATGAGCCTAGAGACGGAGGGTCATTCTGGTCCCCTGTATATTTATCACATTTGTACTTTTATGGTTTGGCTTCCAGTTCTAATAAACTTTCTTTCTTGTTGTTGATTTATCTAAAGCTTGTTAAAAATTTTTGATATCTGAAATCCTGTCTATTGATAAGTGCAAAAGTTTTAGTTGAATAATATAGTTTAGAATCATTTTATCCAAACACAAGCAGATGGAGGCTTTGGTCACTTTTGAGGATGATTCAATGGTTTTTCACGAAGACGTGGCCAGAAAGACAATTCTCAATGAAAGTTTTCAAACTTCAAAGTAAGTTTTAGAAATGGTAAAAAGATGATACCCAACAATTTTTAGAAAAGTATTGTCAGCATCATGGGGCCCTCACGAATGGGAAAAAGCTTCTTTTTGTTGTACTTGAACAAAGAGGCGGAGAGTGAAGAAATCAGGTTAGAGTTTCCTGGTATTTAAATTTACCTTTTGGACTTTGAACAGGATTATTACTATGTTGCATTGTTAAATAACTAGTAGTTGGTGATTGGCTTTATGTAAATTCAGTTCTAGAGGCGCCTTTCAATCAGGCCATTCTCGATGCACAGCGGGGATCCTGATATCCACACAACCGTATCAGCTGGCAAATGATGTACTGTTTGCATATATTTGACTAGATCAAATCTATCTTAAACTTTAATTCTCTTCCAAACATTTTATTTTAGCAATTGATTTTCTTTTTGGATACACAGGGCACTTTTGATTTGGAAACTGACCGAAAGGTCTCTGTTTGGATCGCAAGTTTTAGTCTACACTTCTCTGATATTCAAGTAAATAAATTCTATAATTAACACGGATTTCCCTATTTAGATTGTCAATTTAAGAGGCATCATTGGTGGTAATGATCTTCAAGATTTATATACTTTTGTTCAGTTCGCAATGACATATCCGGGGGCGAAATTACCGAAAGTGAGTGAATTGGAATTGAAGTTTAAGCATTTTTAAAAAATATTCTATCTCAGCAACTCATCTTCCTTATTCGTGACGCTCCACAAATTGATCAAGACAGTATTTTCTTGGAAAACTTACAGGTTTACTAAATGATTCTTTTGTTCCAGCAACCGATTTAGATGCAATGTTCAAATTCCGTGGAATTAAAAGAAATTATGAATTCGTTGCGAAAAAAGTTTGAAATCAGCGTCTTTTGTTTGCCAACAGTTTCCGAAAATATTCAAAAAGCTTCGGGATTTGTTGTCATGGAAGATTCGGGTAAGAAAATTGTCTCAGAGTCAGCTATTCAAGTTTTAGTTGATTCTGCTTTCTATCAAAAAATGAATTCTGTGAAAGAAAGCATTGAAAGCTTCTGTAGAAATGATTACAACAAACTTCCTGAAGACTTGATTGATTTTGGTCATGTGAGTTGTATCTTGGATATCAAATGGAATGACGTATTGTTAGAAAATCTGCGCTCATATCACCACTGTGGCCCCAGAGCTTCGCTCAACGGTTGAGGTTGGTTCAAAACACATAAACTCTTGCTGATACTATTATCAATATTTTAGATAATCAAGCAAGTTTCAAAAGCTGTCGCCGTCAACAAATCTTTTGATTTCTTTTTGAATCTAATCAAGGTGAGATTTCAAGCGGTTATTCGTGGTCAGAATGGTACCAAAGTTGAGTGATAAAAGAACCTGCGTAAAGAAGTAAATGAAGAAAAATCAATAGCAGATCAACTTACCATTTAGGCAATTCAATAAAATCTTTAGGGACTGAAAGCCGAGAACTTCCCAAATCGCGAAATCGAGATTAAAAATGAAACCATCAATCACCTTCACTCGTTTAATTTAAAACCAGAAGATCTAGAGGAAGCAAAAGCTACATTGATGCAGAGAATGAACGTAACTGTTATAACTTACATTAATTAAAATCTTTTTCTAGGAAAAGCTTCAAGAACTGAAAGTCCAATGGCAAAGAGATTTGGATGAGAAAGAGGAAAATGAAGCAATTTTTGACTTTCTGCGGAAGGAAAGAACAAGGATCAATAAGGTCTTTTTGGAAAAACGGATAATTAAACAGAAAATTTTAGATTTATGAAATCAAAGAACTGTTGGAAAATGGGAGCACCGAATCTGCAATAAAAGAATTCTCAAAAACGTTTTCGAAAGACCTTACACGTGAGCGGCAACAGGAGTTGAGTCAAAAAAGTTACGGTAAGTCACATCGTTTAAAACCAACTAGATCGGTTGCTCAAACTCAAGAGTTTGTTTCAGAACATGGTAACGGATCGATTGTCCTACTTAAAAGAATATAACTTGCCAAAAATCTCGGATAAATATCGAGTAATTCATAGAGACAAATTGGAGGTGAGCTGGCACTGAATTTAAGCATTTTATAGAACTTGAGGTGGTTACAGTTTCCATTTTAGAACCACTTTATCATATTTGATCAATTCCCAGCTTCTCACGTTTTGGAAAGAATAAAACTTGAAACGGAGGATGAATTGAAGGCTGAATTGAGATCACTTCAGTTTAAAATAGACGAAGAAACGATTGTTCTACAAAGATTTGAAGAAATCTTGCAGGTTTAAGGACAAGCTGGATTAAGAAATAACAAATACTGAATTTTAGACATCGACTAGCACTTTTCTTCAGCATAAGCAAACGATCTTGGATCAGAGAAACAACTTTGAAAATCTGAAGAGACGACAAGTTGGAGTGTTTGATAATGTGAGTTTAGAATGTTTAGACAGAGAAAAAATTCAGATTTTAGGGTGGTGAAGAATCTCGGTCATTTGATGCAGCTGATCGGTCTCCTTCGAATGTGTCTTGGTATTCTGATATGGAAGGGGCACCGAATGCTTCACCGCCCGAATTCAATGATCGGAGACACACTCAAGACAAACCAAATAGCATCTTAACACAAACTTATTCAAATCCTCCGTCAAATTCACGCAAACCTGTGACTTCTAATTCCGGGTGGACTACGGAACCATTACCCAACCAATTATGAGCCACTCTACACGTCCAAACCCAAGAAAACCAACGTTTACTCAAGACTCGGTTCAAGAGACAAAGCAATTAGAAAAAACGGCTTCAAAATCGATGATTGAAAAACAATTGGTTCACCATGAAGCAGTTTTCAGAGAATTTCTAGCGGCAAGTCAAGTGCACGATACATGCTTACTTTAAAGCTGCCAAACAATACCTTATCTGAGAACAATATTTTAGCGAGCTTCCTGCTTTGACCGGGACATATTAATGAAAGAAAAAACACGATCACTCTTGGCTTTTGCCGAACACCTGATGTTACAAGAGCCTGTGAATGGGCAGCGAGAGATCTACTCGAAAATTTTAGATGGAAAGATTGAGGCATTGATTGCTCAACATTTGGCCAGGTTTGTTAGATGAACGATTAGAGTTAACATTGACAATAGAAATACTTCAAAATCTCCTGTTCTATCAAATCAACAAGAAACTCGGCCACACGTGAGGTAATGAATTTATTTGATTGAAAAAGTTTTATTTCTGATTTTCAGAAAGGCAGGCATCAGGAAGAGGCTTCGGGGGTGAGTATAAAGTGTTTTATCAAACTTTCTCTCTCAAATCAAATTAAACCCGAGTTTCAGTTGCTAGATTCAATAAAATGAATAGCTCCAATAGTTTTCCCTACCCCCGAAAACCTCGGGTACAAATTTACAGCTGAATATCTTTTTTTGCTATTTACAAAGCCAAAGAAAAATCCCTATGTAAATGATCGGCGAGGTGTTCGTTGTGTTTGTTTTTCTGCAGATTTTACATCTTGTTCAACTCCCATCCCCCAAACTGACGATACTGATTGTGTTAAAAGTTTTAAACCAACTAATTTAGCAAAGAAGTTTTTCCAAAGTTTATAAACAATTCAGATTTTTGTTTGGATTTGGAAGATCGCCGAGAAAGTCACAAGGTGGTTGAATTCGATGAAAAAGAACTTAACGAGCATTGTTTCTTTTATTTGTGTCTTGATTATTATAGAGCTACTCGAAAATTTTAGATGCAAAGATTGAGGCATTGGCTGCTCAACATTTGGCCAGGTTTGTTAAATGAACGATTAGAGTTAAAATTGACAATAGGAATACTTCAACATCTCCTTTTCTATCCAATCAACTAGAAGTTCAGCCACAGGTGAGGTAATGAATTTATTTGATCGAAAAAGTTTTATTTGTGATTTTCAGAAAGCCAAGCATCTGGAAAAGGGTTTGGAGGTGAGTCTAAAGTGTTTTATTAAACTTTCTCTCTCAAATCTCGCCTTAAACGAAGAGTCTGGATTAGAGCCGATTAAACCCAAGATCCAGTTGCTTGATTCAATAAAATGAATGGTTCCAATCGTTTTCCCGATAATGAAAACCCCCGGGTACAAATTTACAGCTGAATATCTTTTTGTGCTATTTAGAAAGTCAAAGAAAAATCCCTGTGTAAATGATCGGTGAGGTGTTCTTTGTGTGACCTAATCGCTCGCGATCTGGAAAACCGCTCTGGTATAGCTGCTTCTCCTTTCCGCTCCTAGGGAAAATTTTTTATCCAAATTTGTTTGTTTTTCGGCAGATTTTACATCTTGTTCAACTCCCATCCCCCAAACTAACGATACTGATTCCGTTAAAAGTTTTAAACCAACTGCTTGAGTAAAGTAGTTTTTCCAAAGTTTATAAACAATTCAGATTTTTACTTGCATGCTTCTGCTGTCGATGTTCCTCGAGAGAATCACAAGGTGGTTAGATTCGATTAAAAAGAACTGAACAAGCATTTTTTTTCTTTTATTTGTATCTTAATTAATCCAGTTATAAATTTTTCTTTCCGTGTCATTGTCCTCCTTGTAGGATTTTGGATTTCATTTCTGCTTTTTGTTTTTGGAAAACTTTCATGAAATAGTAATAAAATTTATTTCATAAGTCAAATAGCAAGATAAAATGCGATTCAAATCTATCGAAAGAGC